TACTAATATATTTTCTACCCTCGTTTCTAATTGCCCATCGTCTTTAATTTCTTTTTGAAATCCCACCGATCCCCCGACATCACAAAATCGCTCAACTTTTGCTTTTACGCACGCACCACAAGGGATTGCCCTGTCACATCGTCGTTTCATGCGTCGACAGCGGGAACATGCGCAAGGTGGCTTGTCAAGGGCACACGGTAACTTCTTAGAGGCTTTGGGGCGATTTGGTTTTCTACGTCTGACTTTTTTTTGTTTTACAGATGGTAATATTGGACGTATGTAATATTGGATTGGAGTGAATGGGAGTGGGAACGTGGGTGCCTGAGAACATTTGTGAGTATAACAAACGAGATATGAGAGCGAGTATTAAAAGAAAGCATGGTGTATTAGAATAGATAATTACATGGCCATCGTTTTGGTGTTGGCTCCATCTTCTATAAGCTAGCGTACAGATCGAACTATAATCGTTACATAAATTAGTTCCATAAACAAAACCCCATCCAAGAATACTTCTCTCGCACCATGCAAACTCTCCACCTCCCAATATACTAACTCTTTGTTATGATCCAGTTCAGTCACACCTTCCTTCTTTCCCCAATACACTTCATATCCCAACTTTCCCTCTTTGTAGATGTCGATCAGAACTCGCATTGACAACTTCTCGCATAATTCCATAGCATGCCTGCAATTTCTGCCATTAAGATAACATTCCATACATATGACGTAATCCTCAGAACGACGGGCTGTACAAAAGGTACAAGTGAAAAACCGGTTGAATATGTCGCACTGGCAAAAATCGCATACGAATGTTGCGTCACATTCGGCCTATGTTCGATAGATAGATAGTAAGGGGAGAGACAAAACAATGTGCGTAAACATTGGGCGTGGATTTATATTATTGTGATAGTAAATGTGTAAGCATATCGAAAGCAGTATCACCTTTTTTATCTCTACTGTTCCATTCCAATCATCATGTCTTATAAATTCATCTTCGCATATCCTCTTAAATAAGTCAAGTACGATCTCATATTCATATTGAAAGTCACGCACTCCGAATGTATGGTCAAACCCCATCTGTCTCCCGCGGTATTTGCACCGATATAATTTCCAGGCAAGGTTAGACCAATATTCTACGGTATGACGGATTACTGTTCGCACACGGTATGTCTCTGGGCGACAGACGCTAGAATATGTGGGGAATTGAGAGAAATGAAAGTGGGATTAGGTCAGATGTCGGATACGGAAAAGTAAGTAAGGGAATAAGTGAACGAATGATCACTGATATCACTGATGAACGATGAATGATAAACGCCAAACATCAGTGATTATCATAAATGGGGTTTCCAATGCTTACTGTTGATAATTAGGTATTGCACTTTCTATTGCTTCCTTTACTGTCTGAGCTATAACTCTATTCCACGACACTTTCACAGAACATTTGCCATTATTAACGACCTACAAATATCCCAAAAGAAACGAACGCACAGTTAACCAAACATACGTACAATCAACGATATCTACAACTCATCACAATACTAAACTCAATATTCGCAAACGAATCCCTAACACCTGATGACACGAATTAGATGGCACCAATACGAAATCGCCAATGCGTTGTTCTGTCTTGTAGACCGTGAAGTTGGCTTCTATGAGTGCGCTCTCTGGGATAAAATATTTCTTTGTTCGAGCAGAGAACGTGAACACAGAATTAGCAAGTGATAAATATGTGATAACAGAGTTGCTAAATCTAGTTGTGTTGCGACATACTTCCAAATCGATATTTTGTCCATGTAGAGTGAAGAAATGGGCTACTTTGTCTTTATCACCTCTTCCAACCAGATACCACGTTGCCGATGCTCCTACAACAGAAAAAGTATATTATATTAGCCGTACGATCGTTGACGCCGCGTTCCCCCGAAATTTGAACAATGCTATCATACCCTCTTCAGCATGAACCATGAGATTATGCCCAAATGCTGCGCACATGTCTTTATGGGCCGGTGTTCTGTGAAAAATCAAATGACGGCGGAAGGCGGAAGTTGTAAGTACAGATGCGGATATGTCTATTGGGATCGGATAAATGTCATTACGGGCTAGTAGCGAACATCGTTACCTTGTTCCTTCGACCCCTACGTACATCATCAGATTCTTTGCTCTGAGCTTTGTTGGAATATACGCTAACATCATTAGACATGTTAAAATACAAGTTCACTTGATGACCTGACGCAAACATCCTTATTGCTGTGTTTCCCCTCATCATAGCCACCACACTTCCTTCTCAATCTCTACAACTCACCCATCATGTCATTCTTTCCATTATAGTGGAAATATTCCGGAAGAATGCGATTAACAAGATTGGACCATTCTTTAGGGCATAGTATGTCTTTCCCGTATAACAATCCCCGCAATCGATCCGAGGGATTGGTATAGAATTTCTGCACATAGTCAAGATACTCGCCCAAGAACATGGTCTGGTCTGTGCTTGAGAGTATGTCGCGGGCTTCAATTGCTGGTTGGAAAGAAAGAAAGTGTAAGCGATGAGTATGACAAGAGCAGTAAAAGTAAATGTAAAACTAGGCTGTCGAAGATGTTTGACAATAAGCAGCCGCTCTGTGATGCCATATGTAATATATGCGCGATGAAACAAATGGACCATACACTATATCCCCACTCTAAGCCTTGTAGAATCCCTTGCTTCAATCAATCCAAACCAATTACAAACCAACACAGACAATTCCCCACTCGGCGTTAAAAATTCTTACCCATATGAGCGACATTAGCTCTCAACCAGTCTAACGAGAATATATCTTTTCGCCATTCCTTTCTCATATGCCAATTCTCTACAACCAAAGGTATTCCGTTTATAACACAAGTCTCATGTACTCTACGTACGATTTCCTCGTTTGTAAAAGTGGCAGCATTGATCCGTGGTACCTGTTCGAAATGACATTGTTCACGGCGTGGTGATTGTGAAGGGGATGCAAAAATAGTAGAAGGAGTGTGGACCGAGGAAAGAGAAGATGGAGGAGCAGATAGAGTTGAGCTGGTATCGTCTATGTCTAAGTCAAGATCAAGGCTGAGATTGGAGAATATGTTTGACATCTATTCAATAAATGAACATAGTTTGAAAAGACAAAATTAAGTAATGAGGCAAGTGTTAAAGCGAAATGAAACTCCAAAAAGAAGAAAGGATAAAGCAGGGAGTATGGTAGGGTATTAAAATTAGCGAGAGAATAGAGTAGAGAAGACAAATATAAATGGGAAAGATTATTCGGAATTGCAACAAACCTTAATAATAACAGTGTCGGAGTAAATATGATTAACCAAAGTTGGACAGGGGGTTCTCCAATAAAGTCAATCCCGATACAGTTAGCTACCAGCTGAGGCGGAATAAATGACAAGCGAGCGCAGCTATCAAATTCGAGTGTGAGAGAATTAAAATCGGAATTGTGGTAGAAAGTGATTAGAACAAAGGGGGAGAAACATACCACATTGAACGATGGTGGAACTAAATTTTATGTAAGGCTGGGATCGTACAAATCTAATGTGAAACAATGAATTTTTGCATTATGGTTTATTTGGGAACGCAACAATGACCAGAATATGCAGTTGAATGACGTACCACCTCCCATAAAAGGCCTTTTTTTTTTATCATCGAACCTAAATTACAGTCTTACTCAAATTGGCACACATTTTTGAAAACGATGGATCTGGCCAATCGGTAGATGATGAACAAACTTTTTAGCAAAAAATCATCTGTTTAACAAAAATAGGCACACTAAAAATAAAAAGTATAATAATAATGGTTTCGCAAAACAGAATCATTGCCTTTTATAGCATGATCACCAAAAAGAGAAGTTTATAATGAAATTTATCAACGTACCAGAGAATTGAATTGGCAAAAGTTTCTACACAGCTATTTGCTTCCGTTAATGACTATGTTCTCAAGTACACAAATCCAATAAAGTACTCGAACATGTTAAAAAGTCAGCCAGTAACAAATTAAAGGAATGACGTACCGAACAAAAAGTAATTTGAAAACTGCTGACAATGTTTATCAGACATCTCTTTTAGAATAAAACTTTCCGTTGATTGCATTTGTTTCTCTTGTAGCATTTCTGGCTACAGACATGCAACAGCGTTTAGTATTGATGTTGGTCTATCGGTTATATTAGTATTAGTTATAGACAGAAAGCAAAACAAGTTAGCTGTATTATGCACAAACCTTAGAAGGAAGCATCCAAAACGTGAATTAAATAGTAGACAATGTGAGATGCGCAAGTATGATTGCCAATTGCTTATCTACTATTAATCATCAGTCCTTGTTATAGCTAAATTCTGCAGAGGTTACTTCATTAATTGCTAATTGTGCAATATTGATCAGAAGTATAACTTATCAATAACATTGGAGTATGTGATATAGAATTAACTAATACAATGATATAAATATGTGATTGATACAGTTTGATTCTGATATATGTGTATTCGACTTTTTAAGTAAGATTGTAATATATAGTATAATAGAGAAATCTGAATTATTTCTTGTATGGTTAGTTAATCTTTAAAATATTATAGATCACAAATATATTAATTGTATAATATTCAAAGTAATGATGGTATAAACTTAAAAATTGTTCATAACAAGGTATTTAGCATTCTAACTTTAGTAAATACTGTAGTATTTGTCTCTAAACATGGCAAACGCTTTTATAATTTACTTACTGCCTTTCCAACTTTTTCTTCCATTACAATACCTCATGCTTGCTTCCAAGACTAGCATATGTTTTCAACAACCTTGTTTATATGTATTCAGCCAGAGTTCACTATTTGCTGTATTTTTCATGTAATCTTTGGGATCAGTTTTAATGAGGGTAAATTTATCATGTTGGGATCTTTGGCCTCCCGAATAGCGCAACCGGCCCGATTGGGCCCGCAAGCGTAAATTTCCCAGGGCTGGGCTAGCAAGCTCCTCTAATCATTTCTTACTTTAGCAACATCGTTTTTATTACTATGACTTTTTCTAAAATTTTTATTAATTACTGTAAATTGTATATGACAAGCTTACTACGTTCTGGATACTACAAAATATATGTGAATAGTAAACTTTTAGGCCTTTTTGTAATAGCATAAAGAAAACCATTTGTAAAGTTGCAGTAAGCCTACTACTACTGCTTTACTTTTGGAACCTGTAAACTTAAGCCGTAAAACATTATTTAATGCAATTTACACTCTCCAACTTTGCTGTTAATCCAAAGGGCGAGAAAGCAGTTCGCATTCGTGGGCAAGCAAAAAAAAAATCGGTTCGCAGTTGTGCAGAATGAAGGATTATTTCATTCTATTTGAATAACTTAACGTGATTGTCTTAAATAATATTAAATTGCAGATGAAACAAAGTTTCCTCCTCCCATCTGTATATTAAAGAAAAACGATTGTCATGCAAAGAACAACTTTCTTCTAGTGTATGTAATTGCTTGGCCCAAGATAGCGATGTATGGATTCTAATTTAATGAAGCATTATATTGATTACCTGGGTGATAGGGAATCTAGATCTCCCGCAATAATGGTATATGATTCCTTCAGGAGAAATCAGTTAAACAAAAGTTTCCCGAAAGCGGCTTTGACTTAGCAATAATTTCAGCTGGTAACTATTATTGCCAGCTTCTTGACGCTACAGTCAACAAACCCTGCAAAATGGCATCTTGGATGGCTATGTATGGTGGTGCTGGAGGATAAGCGATGTGTTGGTTAGGTCAAGCATTCATGGGAAACATATCAGCCCAAACTACAAATTCGGTCTTTTGACAAGAGTGGTATATTTAGATAAACTTAAAAATTCTGTGGGAGGTAAGGGTGCTCCTAATACTATAGTTATGTATGAAATGAATGATACGGGACCCGTTTACGGTTTGAGCCATGAAACACACATTACGGTATATGGCAGCAGCCAGCGATGTGAGTAATGCGGGTAACTAACTATATTCGTGTTAATAAGAAAATTGCTGATAATAGCAAACAAAGGTCTATTAAATAGACCAGTATTCAATGTAATGTGACACAATAAGTGTCGAGAATTCCCTCCTCGCCTCGAACTTGAAAAAATTTCTTAACTCAAACTATGTCGTTAACGTCAGAGGTTAATAATTCAGCAATTGACAACTTAATTCAAGCCTCCTTAGAAAGTGAATATAAACTTGAATGGATTCCTTGTTCTGAAATTACCGGCATAAAGTCAAGTCTAATTGACAATGTCTACTACGCTAGTCGTAACGGCGTTAAGACAATGCTGCTATGCCTTGGAAATGATGAGATATGTACACCAACACTTGTGAGTGAGTTTGCCAGAATATACTCACTTCCAACGCACAAGCACAATGACACTAATCAGTTCAAAAGATATTCCTACTGGCTTGAGCAGCGCAATAAACTCATAAGGGGATTCACCAAGTACGAAGACAAGTATTACATGGTTGCTGATGAACCCTTTTACCATTGTTACTCTCGATATGGATTCTGCTCCGCATGTGGAATACTCCGATGTAGTCCCGTGTGGTGCATTTGTGGACATAAACAATTATCCGATGGATGGACTAGCAACAATAAGCAACTCGATGAGTTTATTAAGAAATCTCAATTACAAACAAACTCACCAAATCATGCCTATTTGGAATGGATTCCATACGATTGTATTGACTATTGGGGATATGCTATATACTTGAATGGTCTACCTACTTATGAAGAGGTTAAATTGACTCCACTTGAGATAACAGATGAGACACATGATTTATATTATGCCGAGGTAAACTATTTACTTATGCGTCATGTTTATTGAATAGTTTAATAATTGTTGACATATTATGTATAATTTCCACTAGTTATGTGATGAGCATCCAGATATTCTTACCACGGATGTTTGGGTTACCATCGGATTCACTTATGATACAAGTATACAGAAGTATTGTCTAATAAAATACCGTTCTGGGGATGGATTATGTCTGGCGTGTGCAAGGCAATTAAACCCTAAAATAAATGCATTCTGTTATAAATGTAAAGAACCAAGACCTCTTGATTGGGCTACTGGTAACAAGTCATTGGACTCATTCATTATAGAGTCATGGAATAATACAACGCAAATATACGATGCATATATACAATGGATAGAGTATTCCCTACTGATGAACATACGAGAAATGACCTCCTTACGCCATGGGTGCACATACATAGCAGATTGGTTAGAACCGACGGCAAATAAATGGACAAAAGTGACACTCAAGCGGATAGTAACAGGTGATATTCAGCCGTTTGATTTTGATCAGGTAAATTATTTCAGTGTAAATAGTATCAAGTATGTATGCATTGCATTGATTGTAATGATCATATCATTTACACGTATATTTACTCAATAGTTAACTCAGGAATACCCAGCAATATTAACCCCTGATAACGTTTGGATAATTGGAATCACCCGAGAGCCATCTACTCGAGAATATTATTTAGTTTTCTACCATGAAATACACGCAATATTGGACAGGTTTATATTTATGCAATTTTACTACAAACATGTAAGACATATGAACTATTATGACTTTTATGGACTCAAAGAGATTGGATCTGGCGGTTATGGAGCAGTCTATACTGCCAAATATAGAAAGTATTCAGCAGAAGAGGATATCCCAGAAGTTGTTGTACTCAAACAGTTTAAGAGTTTTGATGAAACGCCGGAATTATTTATTTCTGAGGTAAACAATCGTTGATGTTATTAATTAAATGATATTCAATCTGAATCCTGTATTTATTTTATTTAATAGTTGAGAAATCATGCCAAGTGTGCAACTTATCATTTCCTCAAAATTTATGGAGTCACACAAGACCCAGAAACAAAAGAGTACATGATTGTTATGCAATATGCTAACAATGGTAGTCTTTTGTCTTATTTGCATCAAAATATTAACAAATTGACGTGGAAGATGAAATTATACCAAGTGAAGAATATTGCAGGTTACCTGCGTAAGATTCATGCTGTGGGATTAGTGCATTGTGATCTTCATGGCGGAAACATAGTTTTGGATGGTATTAGTGCACCACTACCATTAATATGCGATCTTGGTCTCTCACGATCGGTCAATTCACGCGAGTCAAATTTAACTATTCGAGGTGTTTTACCTTTTATTGCACCAGAAGTCTTTCATACTTGCAAATTCACGAGGAAATCAGACATATATTCTTTTGGTGTTATTATGTATTTGATTGCTACTGGTGAACCACCTTTTAGGGACAGGGAGTTCGATAGAGATTTAGTATGCGATATTATGGGTGGACTACGACCAACGATGCCTGATTCAGCACCAGAAGAATACAAGAAGCTTGCCGAGCGGTGTTGTGATGCTGATCCTGATAAGCGTCCAGATGCATTTCCACTTTACAATGATATTTGCGAGCTTATGGAAGAGGCTGACAAGGACAATTCTAACAGAAACACATGGAATACCATATATTACAATAATGTACAACCCTTATCACGTCTCGAAAAGGAAAGTAAATATTCTAGTAAGCTCTTACCTACAGGAGAATTACCTAAACCAAGAAATAGCAATGATTTGGATTCAGCCGCAGGTATGCAGTTATATGTTGATACAAATGAAGTCAATTTACAACGTTAACACTGTCCATTTCTTGTAATTTAGAGACTCAACCTCTTTTTTGAATTCGCGGTTATATACAATTTTGCTTCGTCCATTTAAAAGCTCTTAAGTAATTGTCTTTTATATAACATAGATAAATCTGTTCTGGAGAAAACTTTGTTATAAAGCGATTTTCGTTAAAGTGAATCTCATTGTGTAATGTGATAGCTAGATAAACTTAAATTCGTAAACTAAATAATTAACTCAATAGCAAGGGGGTCCAACTTTTGGATATTACGACAGTTCGAAGCAGCAAAACATCGATTCCTAGAATGTGAAGGATTGCAAACTAGTATGAACATTGTTCATCCTTGAAATAAGGATGCGCGTAAAAAGTATGGTGTGCGGTTTCCAGCTCACGCATATTGTTGACGATGTTTTAGTTTTCTAGATTACAAGCATTTGGGCGTTGATTTATCCGATTGCTTACGGAGGGATTTTTTAATTCCTGTACGTAGCGCTTAGTACAATTGTTGGTTTAAAAAAATCTAAAACGAGGTTGTAAATAAATAATACTGTTATTGCTACATCCACGTAAAGTGACAAACGTATCAACAAAATTGGGAATGCTTCAGTTTGTAGGCGCAAGATTGTTACTATTTTAGAATTCTAGCAATGATGCGCGTATTCTAATAACACAAGTATTAGTTGGCCAACTTAAATTTGTAAAGTTATTATCACATAAACGTATCGTCAATTTTGCCGTCACCTTTTGATGAGATTAACGTGCACGTCATTAATACATATCATTTGCCATTTATTATCCAACCATACAGTATGTCAAGAAATGGAAATTGGTTTTATTAATCGTTATCATTGCTAATTAGAAAAAAACGATGAATTCATTTTTTTGTTCTTCTTTTTTCGCAGTTTTTTCTCGACGTTCTAATTTACATCGAGTTTAATATATCGAGAAATTATAAATAAACGAATCACATGACTAGTTCTATAAATTAATATACATATATTAATATAATTTACAATCCACTCCAACGCTGAACGTCCTCGTGAAAGATTAAAATCTAAATGCATCAATGTGTAATAAAATCATCAACTTGGTTAAAAGATGTATGTGTAAGGGTCTTCTGCTATTATTATCTAAATAACGTAATATAATGTTAGAACGTGATAATCATGTAAAAATAGCAAGAATAATATTCGGATTTCTACTTACTACTCCTATCATGTCTCACAGGCGGGTCATCGTCTGCTGGTCTTGTAGGCTCAGGTTCAGGCGGTTTAATATTAAATGGTAAGTTGTTTACTGCAACGCAAAAAATATATTAGCGCGCATTCAGTATGTTCAGTTCAATGTGATCGCATCATACCTGAACTGCCAAAGATTTCATCAGCAAGTGTTTTAAGTTCCCGCGTCCATGTCATTGGATTTACTTGTTCTAAAAGGACAAAACTAACCGTTTACCAAACACCCTAACTATTCACTTTTAAATACATGTTAACGTCAGCTCGCAAAATAGACTTACCTTGATTTCTGGACTTTTGTTCAGCCATTTCAATGAGTCGATCATCAAGACAGCGATCATATAGAACTTCTCCTATTCACCAAAAAGAATTATGAGCATATATTTCTGTATAGTAGGAATTCAGAAAATCTTAAACTGTAACTTACGACGTTTATCCAGTTTCTTCAAGTACTCGTGCTGATCAGCAGGCAATGGAGGAATAGGTTGACTCGAGCTACTTGAACTCGGTTTTATTGTCAAAATTACTGATCTTTTAGTGGAAAGAGTGAGCTTGGGGCAAACCCGATTTGCAATACTTTCAATCCAACTGTCAAATGTACGTTCTAAATCACGCGATGTAGGTCTCATGTTGGAGTCTTCCGCCCAGCATGCTTGCATAATAATGGAATAATAGTCGGGTATGTCAGAGGCAATTTCGGGACGAGCTCCTGTTTGTAGTAGTAAGTCATTTGTAGTTGAGTGACAGAGCCCGAGAGATGAGATGGTCTAGAGAGACGCAACCAAGGATAACAACCAAATGTTTACCTGAACAAATCTCTACTGCTAGAGATACATCGTAATCTTTTTCTTCGAATGGCGGTCTACCTGACCATAGTTCATACATAATCATTCCGACGCTATAAACATCGGCTGCTCGAGTGTATGGCATCCCTCGTAAAACTTCTGGCGCTACATAGGGAAGCACGCCACAAACCGTCTCTTCGCTTCCCGCCACAGAAGCGTTATTCCAGCAAAGACCGAGATCGCTTATCATTGTCCAGCTACCGGATCGCAAAATGTTTCCAGTATGCAAGTCTTTCTTCGAGATTGGTAACAAAGGAAAAAGAAAACATTAAACTGTGAGTTAGCATTAGGACATCAAACACCTCTCTTCAATAAATCATCTTGGAACTCGCTCTTACATGCAACAGTCCTGCTCTATGAATGGTCACCAAGCCACTTGCAATGTCTCTGAGAGTGATAATCTTTTGCAGTAAAGTAAAATTATCAAAATTCTTGGAGAGATACTGCCGGAGATCTCCATCCTCAGCATATGACGTGACGACGATAAACTCTTTAGTGGTTGGACAGCGCGAGATGCCATAACAACGCACGACATGTGAAACCAACGTGCTGAATTGGTGGTATGCGCCCAACTAGTCGACAAGGCGAATGGATAAATGTTAGCAAAGTGAACAACAAACATATAAACAATATATCTAGTTGATGCTTATTATATACCTCTTTCAAAAAGTCAGTTGTCACTTTGTTGGAATTCTTTATACGTTTCAATATGATTACGTCTGAATTTGCCTGTCCCCAGCCTCGCTCCCAATCATTGATATTTGTGTCCCATGCCCGAATAGGTCCTCGAGGCCAATATGCCGTAAATCTAACATGTCAACAATAATATGAGATTAGCCATCGATACGAAAGATGCTGCATGTAGAAAACCACGAGAGGTCACTAACAAAATACATACACTGAACTGTTACCGCCATTCGCAAGATGCTTTACGCTTGTGAATTCTTCATAGTCTATCCATTCCACGACAGATCTGACATTGATTGCCTTTAGTTGAGCTACTTGAATAAAATCGTCAATTTCTTTACAGCCGCTCGTCCAATTCACAAAATTATTCTGACACCGTTCAATGTCGCAGTATTGACACCAATTGTATCCTGTTCTTGTACTTTTGCATTCCTCGCATTGACCGAATTGCCCCATCGGCCGTGTACCACTGATTTTGACTGAATGATGCGCAGGTCTAGCGACGTCTGGATTCAGGTTTAGCAGAGGAGATGATTGGGGTGATTGGGGTGATTGGGGCGATTGGGGTGTCCTAGTAGTAGCGGCATTAGAAGACGAGCCTTGGTTTGGAGAAAAGTGAGGTGTGGCTGGCATGCTATTAGTAAGAGAGGCATTAGCAGCCGAGGCTATGTTTGGAGAAAAGTGAGAAGCTCTCGTTTCATATGGTCGAAAAGGTCGAGGCGTAGCTGGTGCACTCGTAGTTGTAGGGGAATTAGAAGGCGAGACTTGAGATTGATTTTGGGAAAGTTGTGAAGAATTGGGTTTAGAATCTGGGATTGTATTAACCCTTGCGAATGAAACATTTAGATGTTTATTTTTTTTCAATGTTGAGTCAGGGAGGGAGAATGTGCGAGCACCAAGGCTCAAGCTAGTCAAGTTCGGGTCAGATACGGGTGAGTCAGAACGGGTCGAGTCTGAACACATTCTAACGGAATATGGTTCTGTACAAAAGAGAAAAATGCTTCAAGAAAGTTTAGCTTGGCAAATGCTGATATGTTTGTGTAGGTAAGCTTTTTTAAAACTTTTCATGCATATCCGCAAACATCATCGTTCCACATTGTTCTGTTTGTTTTGTACCACTGGATTGTTGTTGTTGCTTTCTTCCTTAATGACATCCTAAAAGTCATTATCATTGTGCCAAATCAGGTTACATTATAACAGCCCTCAAGGGTCCATATCAATCTCTGCGAAAGTTGAGACAAAAGTGGTCGCATAGCAAATAAATGATCTCCCAACTTATGTGGTGATCTCTAAAAACAAAAGGGTACTATACTTTCGTGTTACCAAACTTGCCCTTGAGACCAGAGTTAAAATTCCTGCGGACAAATTAAAAACGAAGTAGCTATAAACACGTCAGTTATACAATGTGCGTTGTTGTACCAAATGCGCTTATCAAGACTAACAAAGAAAAACGTTAAGTGCATGATGTCATTCAAATGATGTCCACAGAACCCATGATTTGTCATATATATTTAAGTATATTACAACATATCACAATACACTATATATGCATAAACCTTTTCTTATTTATGTCATTAGACAAACGGTCACCATCCCAAATATCGAAACAGATGAGAAACCAATTGACGCTGACAGCAATAACAATAGCTTTATTCGTCGTGAATTAGAAAGAGAAATGCAACAATTGACGGATTGTTCGAATTAATTGGTAACGACAATATATGTATTGACAAAATTGTATAAAAGTGTTAATATGGGAAAACCTCGTTGAAAAAATGCGACGGGAATGCTGGAAATGGACAATTCTATTATAAAGTTTTTATACTGGGCGTAGAAGTTCAAACTATTATTTATTAATTTGCAAGGACAGAATACTTAATATTAAATGATTGATTACAAACCTTGAGCGCAAAAACTGTGCATTTAATTTTGAAATTATAAGGCAATCAAGTCTTGTTGAAACTCTTTAACCTTGGGCAATGTTAAAACCATTGAGAGGCAAAACATTGCTTTTGCCAACTCTGCATAAGAACAGTAGCTACTTATATATGTATCTGCTCTGTTCCAATAAGGGTTGATTGAGAACGAAGGATAGTGATTACAATCTGAGCATTGATATGGATGATCGTTCAAAGTTAATTCTAGCTTGTAATTAGGCACTTTCAAGTTATGGTCACAACCGACGGACGCTTAGTAATAAAACGACAAGAGACTATTTATTTCTATTTTCTTTTGTTTTAAAATTTCGCTCTAGATAAAAATAGCTCAGATTAAATATTGTCTAAGAATAGAATAATATAATTATTATTATAGCAGATTATTCCAAAATTGGAAAGATGCTTGTTTGTCGGATAATAGGATTGGCTCAAGCTTATTATTATGACGTTTAATTAATTGAACAAACTATATCTCACCACAATACGTCAACAGAACACATCACCGCTGAATTAGGCTTCTATGTGCACTTGTATATTGATGAAGCTTTTGTTTTTTGCGTAAGCTCCATAAAACGAGTGCTAGATAAAAAGTACAACGGTCATAAAAATACTAAAATACGGCTGTGTACCTCTCATAAACTGTGTGCTTTTCGGTGACAACGTACAATAGAACAACAACGCTGGTTTCAATTTTCCATCGCATGCGAAGATTATTTAGTTGCTCTAGAAGTCGACGATTTACTTACTAGAATTTTAACCTAAGAACAGTATTGTTGTGAGATCCGGCGGCCAAGCAGGATACCGAAATTTTTAACGCACCATAGGTAATTTATGGTAAAACTTTATTCATGTATGCACCGACCGCAAGTTACTCATACATTCGGGGAACAGCGACAGTGGACTCGATTCTTGCACATTTTTTGCCAATATCCTTATCCACTCTTCTATAAAGGCTCCTCCGCATTAGCTATCCAGTGCACCACTCAACCGTTTTCGATATCGGCGACTCTGATATTTAAAATTCATCAGATTTTGATACGCCGGATGGAAAAAAGACTAGATAAGAAATAACCATGCCTGTCATATTTACATTAAAGCCCTGATTTACATGTATTCGCATTTCTTCTGGGAGTGCCGAGCCTGAAATGTGTTTTTCTGTTGATGATTTTGAAAGGAGTTCTACCGATTGTTGCGACCGCCGAGCTGTCATTTTCTTTATTCATAAAACTTGTATGAAACTATCAGTGGGCATGGGCAATCTCGTCAACGAGTACACTACAAGACTTTGAAAAAGGAACCAGGTTGATTAATTTCAACTACTGATATTAATATGATATTAATATCGAATGAATCTATTATTACTAAGATCAACATCAATGATGGAACTTCTAGGAGTTTTGAATTCTGTCACGAGACACATTAACGGATGTTTCTGACATTACCATTCCTCTTATAATAAAAAATTTTGTCTTTTTTTTTTCCAACTTGCTTCACAAAAGATCTCGATTGGATTAAGATCTGGGTTACAGTATTTGACCAAGATGACGACATGAAAGTGTTCGAACGTGGTTTAGTGGTCAGTTCAAAGACTTTGTTATTGTATTTCTAATAACAAAATGAAAACGTAAATTAACAAACCAAATCGCGCGCATTACAAATCTTTTTTTTTTTTTTTTGCGGTTTACTTAGATGACTTTTTTGATAGACGCGTATTGCGGAAGGAAATAAGGTTTTCTGAAATGCATTCCATTCCGAAAACATTTTCGTGCTATTGTAATTTAATATGCAGTATAATACAGGGATAAAGTTGGCCTAATATGGTGGTTTCTTCCGAACCAAGTCAGTTGTAATAGAACCAAGCTTAGTCAGTTTAATGAAGAGCATAGGTAATCACTGTAATGGTAATCATTTTATTAAACAGAACATTCTTTATATCTATTTGTTCTTTGGGGTTTCCCTGATATCACTAAGATTTATAAATAAAAGACAGATTACATAAATTAGTTAATTTACAATCTATCCATGAATGTCCTCGTGAAAAGATCAAAATCTAAATGCATCAATATGTAATAAAATCATCAACTTGGTGAAAAGCTTCATGTGTAATGGTTTTCTCCTGCCTAAATTACGAATATAATATTAATGCTGACGGTCAGATTGATAAAAATTGCAGAAGCAACAGTCAAGTTTTCTACTTACTACTCCTATTTTGTCTCCCATTATTGTCCGCTGCTCTTGTAGGCTCAGGTCCAGTTCTTACCATATCAAGTGTAATTGGTAATGTGTTTACTACAAAGCAGAAAAATACGTTAGCGTCAGGAGTATAGTTCAGTTCAATGTGATCGTATTATACCTGAACTGCCAAAGATTTCATCAGCAAGTGTTTTGAGTTCCCGTGTCCATGTCATAGGATTTACTTGTTCTAAAAGGACAGAACCAATAGTTTAACAAATACCCTATCCATTCATTTTTAAATACGTGTCAACATCAGCTTGCGAAATAGACTTACCTTGATTTTTGGACCTTTCTTCAGCCATTTCGATGAGTCGATTGTCAAGACAGCGTTTATATAAAGCTTCCCCTATTTACAAAAAATTCAGCATTTAGAACATATATTTGTTATATAGTTAGGAAGGCAGAAAATCTTAACTACACTTACGACGTTCATCCAGTTCCTCTAAAAGTTCATGCTGATCAGCAGGTAGTGGAGGAATTGGTTGACTCGTGCTATGTTCAGGTGAATTATATAATCTAGATTCATCCTTTTGCATCGTCGAATTGACTGATTTCTTGTTGGCAAAAGTCTTGGGACTAAGCAGCTCTCCGTTTGCAATATTTTCAATCCAACTGTCAAATGTCCTTTCTAATTCACGCGATGTAGGTCGCATGTCAGGGTCTTGATCCCAGCAAGCTTGCATAATTATAGAATAATAGGTGGGTGTGTCCAAGGTAATTTCAGGACGGGTTCCTGTTTGTAAAAGTCGTTGTAGTTGTATCGAAAAAAATCTACAGAAAGCAACTAAGACACAACGACGTACCTGAACATATATCTACTGCTAACGGTAAATCATAATCTATTCCTTCGAAGGGCGGCCTGCCTGACCATAGTTCATACATAATCATTCCAACACTATAAACATCAGCCGCCCGAGTATACGGCCTTCCACGTAAAACTTCTGGTGCTACATAAGGAAGCACACCCTGAACTGTCTTTTCATTTCCTGCCACAGAAGCATCATTCCAGCAAAGACCAAGATCGCTTATCATTGTCCAGCTACCGGATCGCAGAATGTTGCCAGTGTGCAAGTCTTTCTTCAAGATCGGTAACGAAAGAAGATAACATTGAACTGTGAGTTAGCATTATTATATCAAACACGTCCATTCGACAATCATCTTGAAACTCGCTATTACATGCAACAATCCTGCTTTATGAATGGTCACCAAGCCACTTGCAATGTCTCTGAGAGTGATAATTTTTCGCTGTAAAGTAAAATTATCAAAGTTCTTGGAAATATACTGCCGAAGATCTCCATCTTCAGCATACGATGTGACGACAATGAACTCGTTAGTGGTTGGACAGCACGAAATGCCATAACAACGCACGACGTGTGAGACCAACGTGTTAAATTGGTGATATGCGCCCAACTAGTTGACAAGATAGATGTTAGCAAAACAACCAACAAAGTAGATAAACAACATTCGAACTAATGACAACTTTACTTATTACGTACCTCGTTTAGAAAGCCTGTTGTCACTTTATTAGAATTTTTTATACGCTTCAATATGATTACGTTTGAATTTGCCTGTCCCCAGCCTCGCTCCCAATCATCGGTATTTGTGTCCCATGTCTGAATAGGCCCTCGAGGCCAATATGCTGTAAATCTAATTAAGTCAATAGTCAAAATAATATGAGATTAGCTATGGATACAAAGATACATATAGACATAATTCAAAAATATACCTACACTGAGCTGTTACCACCATTTGCAAGATGCTTTACGTTAGTGAATTCTTCGTAGTCTATCCATTCCAGAATAGATCTGACATTGATTGCCTTAAGTTGAGCTCCTTGAATAAAATTGTCGATTTCCTTGGAGCCACTTGTCCAATTTGCAAAGTTCTTCTGAAACAATTCGCTGTTGCAATATTGACACCACTTGAATCCTGTTCTTGTACTTTTGCATTCCTCACATTGACCAAATTGTCCCATTGGTCGTAAAGTAGAGAGTCTGACTGAATGATGTCGCGATCTAGTGGTGTCTGGATTCAAGTTTCGCAGGGAAAAGAGAGCAGCTCTTGCTTGAGCTGGTTGAACTGGTTGAGTTGTGGTTAGCATGATGTTGCTGGTAGCGCCATTAGGAGATGGTACTTGTATTGGAGAATAGTGAGCATCATTTTCTGTTTCTGGGGGGTGATTTTTATCCAGCGGTTCTTCTGCCTGAGCTGGTTGAGGGGGCAGAGTTGTGGTTGGCTTGCTGTTAGTGGTAGGGACACTAGGAACAAAACTTGTATTGGAGAATAGTGAGTATCATTTGTTGTCTCTCGAAGATAATTCTCCAATGATTCCTCTGCTTGAACTGGTTGAGGGGCCTGAGTTGTGAGGTTATTAGGAGAAAGGACTGTTTCTTGTGGATGATTTTTATCTAACAATTCTTCTGCTTGAGCTGGTTGAGGGAGCTGAATTGAGGTGGCTGGCTTGCCATTAGTGGCTGAAGACAGGACTTGTGTTGGAGAATAGTGAGCATCATTTTTTGCCAACGATTTTCCTGCTTGAGGTGGTGGAAGTGGTGTATATGGGGATGCACACTGCTGATAGGGTAAAATACTGGATAACCATAAGTTTCTTGTGAATAATAATAATTCTTATCCCACTGTTCTCTTACTTGAGGTGGAGAGGTTGGTGTAATCCTAGTATAAGCAGACGGGGGAGTATAATCAGACGGGTACGGGGTACTAGTATGGGGAGTATGTGATGGTTCACTCCTAGTACTAGTATAGCGAGTATATGTATACAGGGTATGTGATGGTTCACTCCTAGTACTAGTATAGGGAGTATATGTATACGGGGTATGTGATGGTTCACTCCTAGTACTAGTATAGGGACTATATGTATACGGGGTATGTGATGGTTCACTCCTAGTACTAATACCGGGAGTATACGTATACATGGTTCACTCCTAGTACTAGTATAAGCAGACGGGGGAGGATAATAATCAGACAGGGGAGGAGTGACATAAGGAGAAGGGAGAGCTGCTGGATATGAATGAATTGAGGTTGGAGGAGGAAATTGAACTCCTGTTGTTCCTTGTTTTGAGGTTTGTGTTGATTGATATTGTAATTGGGAATCAATTAGATCGAGCAACTGGTCGATTGATGAAACATTTGCATCCGTTCTTGTTGTCACTGAGCTCGAATTTGAGCTAGTAGAGTTCAGGTTGGACATTCTAACGGTATATGGGATAGGATGAGAATTTGCTTACAAATAAAGTTTAGCTTGGTAGATGTTACATGCTCTACTTTTTCTATAAAGGCATTCCAAAAATCTGGTTGTGTTACAATATTACTCGAAGCTCTGAAAAATACAAACAGTGCTACATAGACCACCTCTATAATTTACTAGTGAAACGGTAAAAACTTTACGGAGTTCAAATGTTATCTATTGTTATAAACAATATAAATAAGAGAGTTTGCAAAGGACAATTTGTTTGCTTATACCAACAACTAGTGTAGCATTGTTGACCCTGGTCGACTGCGTCGACCGGGGATTGATAATTTATGGATTCTATTGTTTGTTGAGCAATATACGCGATTACGGAAATGGAAGCAGGCATTGTAGAAACTTTTCACAGAGAGAAAAAATTAGTAGTATTTTAGAAAGTAAATTTTAATTGACAAAAAGCCGGGTGAGTCATAGAACGGTTCCTGTTTTTATTTTTTATTTTTTTTGTGTTAATAGATCCCATGACTGAATACATACGTAGCCTTTTCTGTTTAAGAAATTTAAATAAAACAGAATATATGTCGTTGTAAATACACTTTTTTTTTGTTTTACGAACAAAGATGTGCTTTCTGTTATTTGGTATTGCGTAATATTTTAATCAGATGTCGTTTGAATGACGATAGTATGCAAGTAACTTTGACTTTGTTAGATAGAACGTAAAGATAGTTAAATAAAGATAAACTAATGCTTTGCTTTAAATAGAAGCCGTAATTACATTCTAAGTCAACTTGACAATATTACTTAATGTCATGTTAATTTATACGGTAGTCATAACACATACTATATAAGACGAGTTATCAAGTCCTTTGTCGAATAGAAAGTGGGTTGATATCT